AAGTCATATGTTTCACAACATAAAAAAGATCAACGATCGATTTTGTCACATGTGATAAAACGAATGTCCACTATGCTGCGTGTAACAGAGGTGGATTTAAGATACATCCGTCAACAACATCTGGAACAAATAATCTCAGATCTATAAAATTTTAATTTAGGATAAAATAATCATGGATCCATATAGACCACCTGCTTACAGTTAGTATTATTTACTTTTTTTTTTAGAAATTTTCAAGGCTTTATTTATAATTAATTTTAATTTTAAAATCACTAGATCAATATCGCCCGTCATACGAACGTCAATCTTTTGTTTTTCCAACTATTCAATCTTCTTATGTACAACAACAACCTGCAAGACCTAGTTACATTCGACCAAATTATAGACCAAACTATGGACATATGCAAATTAGTGGGAATGCAAGTCAGATAACTTCCACTCTGGGATCAGAAGTAGAGAAATTAACAACACTATTTATTGGTGGAATATCTACTGGTGTGACTGATGATTGGATGGAAAAAATTCTAAAGGTAGGATTTCATTAGTTATATTAGATTTGGTTGGAAGTAAATAAATAAGATATATAGATATATAAAACGTGTATATTATTGACATTATTATGCCGACAAAAACTTGATGATACTTTTACCCAAAAAAAAAAAAACCCCCCCATATGATATGAAATTAAAGGGAAATAAAGTTATCTTTAAAAAATATATATATTTGAAAACCCCTTATTTGGACATACATACACATATATTGGCTATTAGAGGATCAATGCGCTAAAAGGAGGTTTGATCATATTCCTTTATTATAAAGGTTCATACATATATATAAGTAAAAATGAATTTATTGTAGACGCTAAATAATTTCTTTAACAGATAACTTTATCCAATTCAAACTTTTTTTTTGATTTACATGGAAGAAATTATTATTATTATTATTATTTTAAAAAAGGTGTGACCTCTTTTTAATACAATAGCTGACCTTTTTAATTATTTTTAATTATTATTATTATTATTATATGTATATATTTCTTGATTACAATTTTTCACGCATAAACACATATACATAATCTATATATTTCCTTACTTATTGACGATGATGAAAAATATTAAGACTTGCGGCACACTTAAATCTTGGAAACGTGTCAAAGATCAATCAGGAAATCCTAAAGGGTTTGGTTTTGCTGAATACACTGATGCTGATAGTGTTCTACGAGCTTTACGTGTTCTTGGAGGTGAAGGCTCGGGCGATGATAAAAAAGATAAAGGTATTATCTTGCCTGCATTAGAGGAAGGTGCTACTAACAAAAAATTAATAGTAAGTTTTCTTATTTTAAAAGAGATAAATTGTGTAGGGATTCGGTTTAATATTAAAATTATGGATCATTCTGTGTGTTTATAGGTTAAAGCTGATGAAAATACTAGAAAATATTTGGATCAATATGAGGCATCAAGACCTAGAACAGTGGTTTGTATTTTTATAGATATGAGCAATTATCATAATTTAATATGATTAATATCTTGTATATACACACTTAAAAAAATATATATATATATATATATAAATAGCATGACACTGAACTTGATAAAAATGCGTTGCTTGCTGTTATAAATGTGGTAGAGGAAATGACCAAGCCACCTCAAGAGAAACCAGTTTCGCCATCACCAGTTTTATCACAGTCAAACAATAACAATATCAATAAATCTAATACAAAATCTTCACCGATCACCGAACAACAACAACAACCTAATGAATCAGCAGAGAAAGATGAAGAAACAGATTTGCCATCAGACTTACCACAAGAACAAAAAGATCTTATCTACAGAGAGATTGCATTTTTCAGAGAACGTGCAGCTGCAAGAGAACGAGAACGTCAACGAGAAGAGGAGGAACGTTCAAATAGACGCGCAAGAGATGAGCAGCTAAAAGAGCATTCTTCTCATGCAAAAGAACGTAGGGAGAGTAGAGAACGTTCATATGGACATCATCATCAACCTGTTAATTTTGTTCCTGCTAGAGAGTCAAGGCGTGAATCATACATTCTTGATGATGAAGAGGAGGAACAAAGAAGACAGGCAAAAAGAAAAATTGAAATGGAAGTAGCTTTTAAAGAGGTAGAGTAGTTATTATCATTAATTTGAGCAGAAATCTATATATAAAATAATTAGACCTATATTATTCGGTTATTATTATAGAGGGAACGTCGCTGGCAGCATAGAGAAGAAGATATGGCAATAAATAGAGAACGTGAATCAGAACGTGAGTTGAGTATACGAGAAAAACAAATACGAGATCGTGAATTAATGGCAAGAAAATTAGCTGAATGGGATGATGATATCGAGGCTGAAAGAGGTCAAGAAGAATACTATAGAGATCGGTTAGTTAGAGTGTTGTCTATTCTTTTAAGAAATCAATTGAATTAATTGAAATCATGTAATTTATTATCCAATTATATAATTTATATATTTATTATATAGGCCTCGTTGGTGGTTCCATAGACAACAATATAGAGCACGCGAATTAGCTATGGATGAACAAGATAGGCATAAAGAACAACAAGAAGTAGAGAAACGTCGTTTAGAATTGGAACGTATAATTGAAGAAGAAAAGAGACAACGAACAGAAGCCATGGAAACTGAAATAAATTTTGAAAAGGATGCCTCATTAACAGCATCAAATGGTTCACAGAATAATAATATTAAGGCTAAGCTTACACTCAACCTTTCTTCAAAACGTCGTGCAGCTGTAATTGCACCATCTGAAGAAGATGAAGATGATTATGACGATGAGGAAAGTGAGCATAAGAGAAAACGCAGAGTTTTGGTTCCATTGGAGTATAGTGATGATGATGATGATGAAAAGAAAACTGAGGAACGTAGGAAAAAAATTAAAGATTTGGTAGAGACTATTCCTACCGATAAAGAAGGTTTATGGAAATGGAATGTTAAATGGGAAGAGTTGGACGAGGTATTTTAATATAGTCCTTTTTATTAATAAAAGAAAGATAGATAAACTTTGATTACGAATTTTTGCTGACTTGATTTTTATCTTCCAGGCAATAATTGAGAAGAAATTAAAACCATTTGTTAGTAAAAAAATAGTAGAATATTTTGGTGTACAAGAAGATGAGTTGGTTTCATTTGTAATGGACCATTTACGCAATAAAAAATCTGCATCGCAATTAACAAAAGAAATGGAAATGGTATATAGATTTTTAGGTTTTATATATATATATACATAATATTTATTTATTTTAAAAGAAATTAAATTATATTCTTTTTTTAAAAAAATAGACATTGGATGAAGAATCAGAGCTCTTTGTGATGAAATTATGGCGGATGTTAATCTTTGAAACAGAGAGCAAAGCAAAAAAACTTTAGGATGATTTGATTTGATTTTTATATAAACGTATGTTAAAAAAATTTTTATAAATCAAAAACAAGATATTTAATTATATATTTAAATAAAATTAAAAAGCTAATTGTAAATTTTAAAATTACATTGTTACTGTAATGACAATGTATATCATCACAAAATCTTTAAATTGTATCAGTAAATTTGAATTTAATTTTTCACTGAATCTAAGAAGTTTAGACATTTAATCAGTAACATTTATAATAACTTTACCAATATTAACGTTACTTTCTAGATATTTATGCGCCTCAGAGATTTTTTTCCAATCAAATACTTTGTCAATTATGATTTTTAAAGGAGATTCAGGTGTTGTGAATAATGGAAATATATTTTTGTAAAATAGGTTCCTAAGATTAATTTGGTAATCGAGTGGCCTGGATCTTAGACGTGAACCTTCGACCTAAATCACAAAAATTTTTAGAATAAAGATTGAGAACAAACAAAAGAATTAAATATATTTACTCACACGAATGCTTTTACGAAGGAATGGACTTAAATCAACATTGCTAACAGCCGCACCTAGAAATTTTTTTTTTAAAATTAAAAAGAATACATTGAATATATATATACATATATATAATATTAAACACTTATTTACCTGACATTGAAGAAAGAATTACCATCCTACCATCAACTGCAAGACAATCCATATTTTTATGCCAATAATCTTTACCCACAAGATCAATGATAATATCTACACCACGATTATCAGTGTATTCCAAAACCTAATAATATATATTCTATTATTTATATTTATTTATATTTTGATTAAAATTCAGATTTTTTTATTATTTTAACTTGCCGTTTCTTTAAAATCTTCAACTTTGTAATTAATTCCTTTGGTTACCCCTAATTTCTCAATAAATTTTACTTTAACATCTGATCCAACAGTAGCGAAAATATTACGACTGAATAAAAAAAAAGACAGCTTAGTCCTTATCATTTTATTATTATTTTAGAAATGAGTTATCGTTGATAATTTATTAGTTACGCTTTAGCCAATTTTGATAATTCTACAAGTGCTAATCCAACACCACTTGCACCAGCATGAATTAAAAGATTATGACCTTCTTGAATGTTGGCAATCAAATGTAAGGCCTGATAAGCAGTAAACCATACTTCAGGTATTGCAGCACCTTGTTGAAAAGTTAATTGATCTGGTAATAACATTACCATGTCTTCATTTATAAGTGCATACTAAACAATTAAAATAATGTAAGTATTTAAATATAATTCATTATAAATTAGTTAGTTGGCTAGTCACCTCGGCGTATGCACCTCCATACAATAATCCAAATACTTTATCACCAAACTTATATTTTGTGACTTTATGAAATTGATACATATATTAATATGTATATAATAATCATCCAATAATTTTTATACACAAACCTTTTTTACCAACATTTTCAACAGTTCCAGAAATTTCAAGACCAAGAATCTGGCTTACACCTTTTGGTACAGGGTACATACCTCGACTTTGGTGAATATCGATTCGATTCAATCCAAAGCATTTCACATAACAAAAGAAAACCCCATGTCAAATTTTGGAATATATTCTTTCTATAGTTACTAATTATAATTACTTTTACTAATACATCATAGTCGTTTGGATCGGGTTTTGATGATTCACCAATGTGTAATTGAGATGCGTGACCTTAACAAGTAAACAATAAAAATATTCATTATTTGTTCATTTGTTTGCAATTTATCAAGAGCAATTACCAGCAAGTACAGCTTTCATCATCTTTATTGTTTTAATTCGCAGTTTGAAAAAAATTACATATTGCAGATCGGGGCAAAATTTCCTTGTTCCTATGGTTGGCTCGGTCTAAAGACCTCCTATTGCTGCGCCACACGTGAAAATTTCAAAAATTGCGATTTCATGATTCGTTCAAAAATGCAATAAAAACTTTTCAAAAAGGCTTCACGTGACTTTGGTTAAAAAATTTATTTTTCTTCCTGCCAAATTTAGACATGATTGTCGAGTATTAGTCTAAATTTAGTAACGATAAACTAAAACTAGTCTAAATTTAGCAATGATCCTAGCGCTCAAATTCTTCATGAGCATAGTAAAGTACATGTTTTAAAAAAGAATAGAACTCTACAACAAATAATTTTTTTGATAAAATCTCTTTATTACATTAAAATTAAAGACCTATTCCATCAACTAATAGAGCTATTTTTTTAAAAGGTAGGGCAGAAAATGACTTTTATACTTTTAAAATTTGCACAAAATTTAGGAGGTCTTTAGACCAAGCCAACTATAGTACTATTATATGTGGCACGCTTGCAACAAAGTGAACATTGGTATTACCAAGGGTTTCATCACAATTGTAACGTGATCAGTTTTATCTCTTAAACCTCAAGAATCTCCGGAACCTGTACCATTTAAATTTAGTATCAAAGAAGATTCAAATCAAAAAATTGAAATGACAGCCAGAATCATACACCCAAACTACTAAAGGAATTTAACTCCTCAAAAGAATCACTGGTGACGATGATAATCATAATGTCAAGATTACACCACTATCAATACCACATCCAAAGGAACAACCGATTACTGTATTCTATCCTACCAAGAAGATCAAGCTACCACAATACACATTTACAACCAATACCAATATCAATCACCATTATTACTACTCCTGCCGAAAATACTAATATCATTGCTACTGTCAACAATACTACTCAATCAATTAATATTACCAATAATAAATGTTAGTAATGTTCACCATACAAATTCCATGATAATCAACGGCAGTGAAAACCTAAAGATGAAAGTAAGGCAAATGATAGAAATAGAAAATGCACAGAAGAAACAATTTTCATGAATGATGATGATGGATTAATAATAATAATAATAAGGAAAGGAGGATGTTAATCTAGTTCGAATTAGTGGTGAAAATAATAATGACTATTAATCATCAATATAATCAATCTCTTTAAGCCAAGAAGAAATTTTAACAGTCACCATCATGCAGTGATTTATTTTTATAATTTATAGTTTTATATTTTAGAAAAGGTATATATATATTTCATTGATATATTTTACATAAATAAAAAATTAAATCCTATTTTTTTATGCATGTGGAAATATTACATTAGATAATAATAATAATAGCAATGATAACAATAATTAAAAAATATTCACTTACAAACAAATTGAGAGTAATTAGAGATTGTTTTTTCATTAATTCATTGAACTTTATTATTGGTAACAGATAAGTAAGTATTCCATCCAAGCGCTACAGTGTTAACCACCAACAATCTATGATCCAATGGTACAAAACGAAAATTAATTAATTGTACGATTGGCCAAATTTTATAACTATTTAATAATGCTGGTAAATATGCCTATGTATATACATAATTACATATATAAACAAAATCAACAAAATTAACAAGAATTTTTTATAAATGCAAATAATTTAAATAATTTAAAAAATCTTCATTTTAGACCTTACTTTTTCAAGTTTTCTAGTTAATTGAAGTTTAGTTTTACCCTCCAAGATTCCTTGAATTAGGAAAAAACCAGCTATAAAAGTTGGTGCAAAGACCATTTGATCAAGTGCTACACGTGCCAACAATCCTACACATCCACAAAAATTATCAGTTATAAAAAAAATTAGGGAAGGAAATTTTAATAAAAATTCAACCAGTTATTGGATTTTCAAATTTAACATATCGATCTAGTATACGATACCAAACAGCTGGTACAGGTCCCTAAATAGTCATTATTAATAATACTTTTGTATATTGTTTGTTACTGAATACATGAAATAATAATAATAATAATAATAAATACAGCTATCAAAAGACCAAATCCTCCGATTCTAATTGTTCTATAGGAATCATGATTTTTAATTCCTCGTTTTTCAACAACATGTTGAGCTATTGTATCTCCCAAGCCACATAAAAATCCTATTTCACCCAAATTTATAAATTTTCATTAATTTGTTTGTTTATCCATAATTATAATAATTGTCGTTATATCATCATCGTGGATTCTCTCACCTGCGGTTATGGATTGTGTTAAAATTGGTCTGCGTGTAAGATGATATTTGTAAAGATTTATCAAAAACATTTATTTTTTAATATCAAAATAATATTGCTAATCTTATTTATACAAATCCCGAAGCATGTGATTATAACCTTCACTCTATTATTTTATTACTATGTAGAAGATAGTCGCTGAACTTTTTATTGGCTATGTGGATCCTTTAATTTCTCCAAAAATGGAAAAAAAACAAAAACCTTTCTCTTCACCATATAGGAAAGTCGCACAATTAAAAATGAACGAAAATTTGAAAATTTCCAAAAAACAATGGGCTGAGTGAGTGACTTGCACTATATAAACAAAAATTTAGAGTAAACGTTCTAGCTCCCAATAAATACCATACAAGAATACATGCTAATACAACGATAATAACTACTTTTAATAATAAAACTAAAAATGATGGTTTTGGTGAGAGAGCGAATCGATGTATAGTGATGTTGTATGTGAGTGAAATTGAAACTTGTGAAATCGAAATTTTATAATATGAAATTCTGATTGGTTAATTTGAATTTCATATGCGTGAATTGCAAATTCACATAGATTTCATTTACGCACAACAGTGACGTTCACGTTGTTAATATAAACGTTAGTTGACGCTTACACATCGAGGATTTAATATATAAACGTTTAACATTTTGCCAATTCTTCTTAATTAGAGAAACCAAGAAATTAACGCTCAACATTATATTTGCAGCAAATTCATATCCACTCATTTTAACATCAGCTTTAGCATTTAAATCATCATCGTTATAAGTTACAGGTGTTGAAAATTTTCCAGCTAATAATATTGATTATTGTTAAGTAATAAAACGAATAAGTTGATTTATTAACTATACCAATGATAATAATAATGGCGATGATAATGATGATAATAATGGTGATGATAATTACCCATGTAAATAATTCAGGTCTTAATAATCTTGGAATTTGTTTGATTAAAGATTCAGTTGCATATTTCCTTGTCGAGATTTTTAAGGTCATGGATTCAAGGCCATCCCTTTAACACGATCGCAATCATGTACATCGCCTAAAACAGCAACAGAAAGTTTTAGGCGCGGGAGATTTGGAAGTCCAAGCTCCCCAATTATGACAACGTGATATTTGTTTAAAGATACGTGTGTATAATATAAATAATTAGCAGGTGGTTGTCGAATGACTGACCATATATATGTTGGAGGAAGAACAAGATCATCAATTTTAATACTATAACATCCGTGTCTTTGTTAGGTACTTTTGGATATAAAGTCCAGTAGTAGCTTAAAGGTTTTCGCTATACTTTGTGATGGTTAAGTTTGGTATTCATTTTTTAGCTTGAATAGAGCGGGATCGTACAAAAATATATTTACATCTAACTTTGATAGAGTTGTTAGTCGAAACGTTTCGTCATTCAACATTTAGGCATGTCGAAAGTCTAAATTGATGTCGAAAGTCTAAATTAATGTCAAAAGTCTAAATTGATTGATCACATCAAAAGTCCAAATTGATGCTGAAAGTCTAAATAATGTCAAAATGCCTGAATGTTATTGAAACAAAATGCCTAAATGTTGTCAAAATTTTTTAAATTAATCATAATTTATTAATATAAATACAATAAAAATAAAATCTATTCCCTTATAACAATATTGAGAATAATTCGTAAAAAAAAAATCACAAATTTTATATTTTTCTATGATAAAGATTGAATTGGATGTTGGAAGAAAAAATCAAATTTCCTTGGAGATCGCGTGTCATAGTGAAGTTACATTGTATCAATGATAAAAGATGAATGCGATTGATATTTTTAGTGTATATACAATTAATCAGCTAACTTCAAACAAACTAAAAAACCCGCATTATTTTATTATTATTAAAAAATTGGCATCGTTCTCAAATTTACTAATACTAATATTATTGGTGGTGAAAATAGTCAGTTTTATACATTAATAATTAATTTGGAGACAAATATTTAGACTTTTGACATTTCAACATGTTTCGACATTACGGCAAATAAAGTGACCTTGTCGAATATATTTCGACAGTCGAAATGCCTAAATGTTTGTTGAAACTATACCTTTCGACTAACAACTCTAATTAATGCGAATCTATGGTGGGGCAGTCACATTCTTTTTTCAAAAAATACTTTCGAATCATAGTGTTTGGCGGTTACATTCAATAGAATTTCCCGGTTAACGGTGCCAATCTTACCCTAAAAAATCTAATTTAAAGAAAAAATTACATTTGAAAAATAGATAAAAACGACAGTCGAATATATTTCGACAGTCGAAATGCCTAAATGTTTGTTGAAACTATACCTTTCGACTAACAACTCTAATTAATGCGAATCTATGGTGGGGCAGTCACATTCTTTTTTCAAAAAATACTTTCGAATCATAGTGTTTGGCGGTTACATTCAATAGAATTTCCCGGTTAACGGTGCCAATCTTACCCTAAAAAATCTAATTTAAAGAAAAAATTACATTTGAAAAATAGATAAAAACGACATGTTTGTTTAATTTTTTTTCTAATAAATCCGTGTAACCTATATTTTCTAAAAAAAAAATGGAACATGAGATGTCGCAAAGCCGTTAAATCATCATAATCACATTATATTGGCAATACAATTGTGTCATTTAACAATTTTGACCTCTCCAAATTCCATGCGGCATTAATGTTCACTTTTGTTGGCAAATTTAAAATCTAATTATTTTTAACAATTCTATCATTAATATTAATTTAATATGACAATATAATAAATGATTATGATTGTGATTATGATGCCTATAATAGGATATAATTAAATACTAATATACATAATATCTAAATATCTAAATGTTATTATTAATTTAATTATCTAGATCCATTTGACCAAATGCATACAGTTCTCTCTCTATCCGCACTAAATAATTTGTTACCATATGAACTCCAAGAAACACCGCATATTGGTGCCCTGATAATAATAATAACAACAATTAAATAGATAAATATGTAAGTGTAAAAAGGAGGATGATTATTATCATAATCATAAAATCGTATAGTTAATCAAACAACTATATTACTTACATGTGTTCTCCTTTATTTATTTTTTCTACTTTAGAAGTCAATGAATTCCAATAATATATTGATCCCTCTAATAATGGACAAGTAATTAGACATATGTATTATCAATTATATATAATTTATTTATTTATTATATGTTGTATGTATATTATTTACCCAATGAACCAGCAGCAACATATTTCCCATCGGGGCTAATGAATTATTATAATTAGTTAATTATAGACACTTATATTACATTTAATTATATATATTGAAATACCTGAAACAAACTCTTGCCCAGTTAGCTCCAGTCTTGTATCCATCAGCTCTAATTAAAATTAATTATATTTATATTTATTATATATTCAAATGACTTTTTAAATTTTCACTCAATCAACACAATCAAACAATCAAATTTACTTTAAAGTTTGTTCAATTTGATATGTTCTTAGATCAATCAATTTAAGTGAATTATCACGAGAATTTGTTAACACTTTCGTACGATCTGTATAATGTTGAATAATTAGATATAATCGTACAATAGGCACAGTATTGATCTTATTAATATTATTACTTACCAGGTGATAAACAAACAGATGTAATTTGTCCAAGATGAATGTTTGTCAATTCTTTTATATCTTTACCAGATTTAACATCCCAAAACCGTAAGCTATTGTCAAGATGTCCACTTGCAAGTGTTGTACTATGAAAAGAAAAAAATTATTAGATTTCTATTATCTCGATCAAATTTTTGTTTTGTTAATTTACCCGTAATCATCTAATGAAACCACATCATTACAACTAGAATATGCATAAATTGTTCTACTACCTAAATAGTAATAATAAAATATTATTTTTATCGATTAATTACATTTTATTTTTCTTGGATTATATTATTAATTAATGAATTTATAATCATGCGTACAATATCCTCTTTGAATATCCCACACTTTTATAGTTCTATCATGGCTTCCTGTAATCTATAAAATTAAATAATAATATTAACCAAATCCCATCATATCATATTTTATTGAGAATTGATTACTTACAACTCTGGTAGAGTCACAATTAAATCTGGCAGAATAAACTTTACCCAAATGACTGGTTAATGTAAACTATTGTATAATAATTGATGATATAATAAAATAAATAAATATCAATAAAATCAATAAAATTCAAATTTTTATTTCTAATGATTATTTTACCGCTATTCTGCCTGTATTTAATGACCAAACTCTAGCAACATTATCGCTTGATGCACAAACAATTGCTTCGTTTGTATTATTAAAAGACACATGCATTATAGATTGATGTGGTCCTGTTAATGTCTGTTTTACATTCCCTACAAGAATAATCAATTAATGAACGATTGATGGATTGACGAATTAATAAAAAATGACCGTAAAAAATTTAATCATTATTATAATACCTGTTTCTGTATCAAATACATTAATTGTTTTATCGGCACTTCCTGTAGCAAACATACTTCCATCAACAGTTGATGCAATTGTGTGTATTTCACCATCATGTGCAGTCTAATGGGAAAATTAAACCATTAGACAATCAACCAATCAGATGTTTTCACATATGTTTGAATAAGAAAAACTTACTATATTTAAATCAACAACAGTAGGAGGGCTTGATATTTTTTGATTTATTTTATCTTTCATTCTAATAAAAATTAGTTTAAAGTTTTTTTTTTAATAATTATCTTTTTTTTTAAAAAAAAAAATAAATAGTTTGTGTAAGAATAAAATTATAATTACCTATTTGAATTTTTTGTATTATTATTATTATTATTATTATTATTATTATTATTATTATTATTATTGTTATTATTATTGTTATTATTATTATTATTATTATTATTATTATTATTGCGGATACGATTATGATTATTATGATTCTGTTTTTCAGAATTTAATATAACTTTTAGTGAATCATTATTATTATCATTAATGCTATTCCTGTTGCTATCATGGTTGTTTGTTTCAGGATTGACAAGATTATTATTATTATTATCATTGTCACTGGAATTATTATCTTCGTTAACTAATACAACACCATTCTGATGACCTAATGTTTTAGCGTGAACTTCTAGTATTCTATAATATATATATAAATATTAATGACTATAGTAACAACGGTAATCAATTAGATTTATTTGTTAATTAATTGTTGTTGCCTTTCATAAAAGTTATTGGCTTCATTCATTTTTTCAACTTCTTCATTCTTTTTCTTTAACCAACGTTGTAATAATTGATGATTTTCATTTTTAAGATCGTGCATTTTCTCTTCTAGTTTACTCAACTCCAATTGTAAAGCTGCTAATTCATCTTGTAATATCTAGGTTTTAAACATGATTTTCAACAGATTAAATCTGATAAATATAATCTATTGTTTATTACTAATTATTAAACAAATACCTGTATATTGACTTCTTTTTCACGAATTACTTGTACTGACAAATCTACTTTTTTATTTAAATTCGTGTTTGAATCTGTTAACCTTAATATTCTAAAACAGTAAATAATAAATAATGGGTAATTATGAACAGAAATAGAGATGAAGATATTTTAATGATACATATACATAAATTATTTATATATTGAAATAATAATATTTTTCCTCTCCTTTTTGTACACATACTTACTCTTCTTGATTTTTTTTATTTAATTCTATATGCTGGTTAAGAACATCAGTCAAATCCAATAATTTTTGAGCATTTTGGCCTTGTGTTTTATATGATTCATCGCGCTCCTCCCTCAATTTTCTTACTTCCTCTTCTAACTCTATATTACGTTTTATAGTTGCCTCACTCCTAATTCAATTATTATCGTTATTATTATTATTATTATTATTATTCATTATTTAATT